CTGCTTGCAGCTCTGATTCCTCAGCCCTGTTTTGTTTAAAGCTATATATTGATTATGCAGCAGCAGACAAGACTTTTAAAATTTTTTTAAATATTTTTATTGGTCTTTTACTTTACTTTAAAAAAAATCTTTGTTGAAAGTATTATATATGGCCTCCTTCTTCCCCATTGACCTCTCCTAGCCCTCCCCTGACCCCTACATCAGGCCTTCAGCACCCTATTGCCCGTGTCCACGGGTTATGCATATATGCATACAAGTTCATTGATTTATCTCTTCCCACCCACTCACCCTCCCCTGCCTTCCCTCAAGACTTTTTTTTAAAACCAAACATCTGTATTTGCAGTCATCACTGGGGCCATTTCTTGCTGCCTATTTGTTTACTGGCCTGCTCTTCCAGCTGCAGAGCTGAGAAGTGCTTGGCTTGCTGGGCCAGGGCAGGCTCCGCCTTGTTCACAAAGGTCTCCAGATCATAGTCTGGCTACTCTGTCATCTTGGAGAGCTCAAGCCAACCTGGCCCTTGCTGTTTAATCTCCTTGAGCTCTCCCATGGTCCTCTCCTCCAGCTCTTTTACTAATGTTTTTGAAAAGCAGAAGGTTAAATTCAGACAAATCACACTGCCCTATGCATAGAAAGTGGTGGGTGTTTCAAGGAAGACTCGTTTAATCCTAATAGAGCAATATTTAGTATGAAGACGTTGTTTATTTTCAGAATTCTTCCAAGTAAAATAAAAACTACCAATAAAATAATCAGTATTAAAGAAATGCCATGCAATCTTCTGGCAATCTTCTCTATTTCTGAGAAACAGGCACTTAAATGTCTGTGATCCAAATGCTTTGCCAGATGCAGAGATACAGAGATGAAAGAGAATGCCTGTCCTTGAGGGGGTCCCAGTCTAGGGGTGGCATAACAGAATTCATTAGTGTGCCCATTATTAGTTTAACCTACGTCAACATACTTTGGTATTCCTACTGGTGATTATAGACCAGCCTTTGGGCATTTTAAAGAGCAAAGTATGCTATACCTTCTTTTATTCTTTTAAAGTAAGAAGTTAATGTTTCCCAAGATTATAGTCTTGTCAGTATAACTTTTCAAGCATGCAAAGTAATGGGATGTTTTTCCTCTTTACTTTCCCCTGGATGAAGGCACTTTCACTGTCTGTCATTGATTAGCAGATACTGATTTGTTGCCATTAAGTAAACTTGATTTATTTGTGCTCTATAAAGATTTTCTGTATTTTTTTTTCTTGGTGTTATTTTTTTTCATTGACTTAAAAATAAATTTAATGTATGTAATTGTCTATGCATTTTAAGTTAAACTGTCTAAAATATGATTTGAGACATATACATTTGTTTGTATTATGAACTGTAAGCAATGTGTTTGAGACTTTAGGTCTTACCACCTGCTGCTGTATTTGTAAAAAAAGACAAATGTTGCTTTAAGAAGTAATTATAATTAGGACTAGACCAGTGGTCGGCAAACTGCGGCTCGCGAGCCACATGTGGCTCTTTTGGCCCCTTGAATGTGGCTCTTCCACAAAATACCGACTTCTGCGCATGGGCCACGAAGTTTCAATCTCACTGTACATGCGCGCCCGCACGTGGTATTTTGTGGAAGAGCCACACTAAAGGGGCCAAAGAGCCGCATGTGGCTCGTGAGCCGCAGTTTGCCGACCACTGGACTAGACTATGGATGTGATACTTGATATTTTTAAAGATAAACTTTTTTGCTTTTGTGTATTATACATGAAAACTTTAAAAATACAAAATAAAGTCTGTTATGGTTTAATATTTTTATTTTATGTATGCCATGTAATAGTAAAGCATAAATAATGCAAATTAAACATTACTATATATGACATATGCCAAATTATATTGAAAGTTAACTAAACAAAAAGAAAGCTACTAATGGGCTTTGCCTAACTTATTCCTACTTGAATCTTACAACGGAATTAAGAAAATCAAGCCTAAGAGTTCAGACATACATTTAGTTGAAAGAAGAAAAAAATATAAATGTGGTTGCCCTCTTTTAAGGAAACTCCAAGATCTTGGAATGAGATAATATGTATCATGAGCCTGGGTACGCTGAGATACTCCGGATCAAACCAAACAGCTCTATGTGATTTAGTTCACTGATATACTGAATTTATGTCACCAAAATTGACAAGCAATATAAATTATTCTTTGGCTTTAAAGTTTTGGAGTTATCTCTCAGGGGTTGACATACCACAACCTTCACAGAGATGCCATCACTGGTAGTGAACCGCCCACCTCCCTGACATCTACCACCTAGTCTCACAAGTCATCCCTTGGGATCTACTTTCACATCTGGATGGATTACAGTTACTGAAGACCATACATCCTCTTCCAAAAAACTAGGTTTCTAAAAACATGGCCAAGAATTGTCCTTATCCTTGCCTGGCTGGCATGTCTCAGTGGTTGAGCGTCAACCTATGAACCAGGAGGTCACAGTTCAATTCTCAGTCAGGGCACATGCCCAGGTTTCAGGCTCCATCCCTAGTGGGGGGCATGCAGGAGACAGCCAATCAATGATTCTCTCATCATCATTGATGTTTCTATCTCTTTCTCTCCCTTCCTCTCTGAAATCAATAAAAAATATTTTTTAAAAAAAGAATTGTCCTTATCCTTAATGGAATTTTAAAAATCTCTATTCAAGTGCAAATTTAAAAATTAAAAAGCCAGTACACATTTTCTGAAAAAGTCAGATTCTTTAAAAAAGAGTACATTCTCTTTTGAACTTTATTATTATGATTAAAAATCATAATGACTGAGGTTTCTAATAATCACCAATTGTAAAAACAATCAAGACACAAGTCAAGTTGAAACGCTCACTTTATTGTTGACTGATTGAAATTTATCATGCTAAAGGTGCTGAAACACTGAGGTGCTAGTCAGGAACCTTTTTAGTATGTGCCAGACCTTACTGCCTAATTCACACAAAGATTTTATTTTATCTTTTTCCATTTTACCGAAGTCTGTGATGATAGCTTTAGTTGATAGGCAGCAGGCATGTGAGGAGAGTGGGAGATCTAGCTCCTTGGTCTGTTGTATTCATATACAGAAAAAAGTTTGGAAAGCTGATAAAAACATTTCATTTTATTAAGCCTTAAAACCACTGAAACCAAATCCATGCCAAGGTTCCTACTTGACACATGTTCCTCAAAAGATATTATTTCCTTCAACGTATACAAAGCTAAGAAAGGCATATTTAAGGGAAGAAATATCACCACGGTATATTGGCTTTTCAACATGACAGAGAAAAAGCAAACTTCCTTCATTTAGAAATTGGGTCTCCTCTTCACATACTCTGCCAAAAGACAGAGTCTGGCCAAAAGATGTAGGAGTCTTGATAATCTGTTCATCTTTTAAACCTTGCTAATAAAGTTGAATAAATGCCCATTACATAGATATCAACTTATAGAATCAGATGGACCAAATAGATTACTTTTCAGAACCTACTTTCATATCAAACTGAGTCACCATACAGAGCTCATCCTCTAAAAAAACACAAACAAAAACCTACTATCTCTGTAACACTTCTAGGGTTTGACATCATTGGAAAGGCACAATGCAATTTAATGAATTGTTATACCCACAATGTTAACACAGTACTCTTATCATATCACCAAGTGCGTTTTCTTTTTAATTACTTTCATATTCCTAGCCTTTCCTTTTGTTTCTGCAGTGCTTATTAGGAAAACTAAAGCAGAATTCAGTAAGAAAGTTCTAGTGAATTTCAAAGACGTTAAATCAGAGTTTCCTGCTGTCCTTGGATGAACAATTGTGGGATCAACCACAGAAAGTGGACAACCAAGATACCTAGTCTATTAAAAACCAGTCCCACAATCCTACTCGAATCTAGAATCCTACAGAGGGGACAAGATAAAAATGTTATAATATATCCCACTATCCAAAATTCTCTCAGAAGCTTAAAACAAACATAAACTATTAAAATTATCCGCGGTAAAGCTTCTATTAACTGACTTCTAATCAGTTTCTCCCAAAATTTGCACACAATATCTTATATAGATGATAATTTATACTTACTGGATGTAAAAAAATCTAAAATAAGAAAGCACTGTGTTAAATCTCTTAATGTTTTTGTGCGCACATTGCACATTTCCCCCTCAAAGTAAAAATATTACACATGCATCCTTTATCCTTCTATCTTGAAATATTAATAAAAATATAAAGCTTTAAAACGTTAAAAATCTACCAGCATTTATAAATATATTAAACCAGTTGAATACTTTTCTTTAGGAGACATTTAAATAAGTGATATATTAACAAAACCTTATCATTTATAATAATGTGCCATTTAAAATTAAAGAAAGATATGAAAATAGAAGAATGCTCCCATAAATATAAAATAATTAGAAGCTGTTAAGTGTGATGGGTGGTCCAAGTCCGGATGCCTTGCTCTTGAAACAGAATGCTGGGTTAGAAAGTTAAGAGCATTTCCTAGTTAATCACTTAGAAAATCAGCTCTTTCCCAGAGTTTCTTCCCTGGAATTCCTGAACCATTTAGACCTGCGGTCTTGGTGACCTTACATGCCTTTGTGTCTCACACAAACGTCTCTAAAAGAATCACACTGTGACTTGAAACAGATAGAATGAAGTCCCCACTGGAGTTGTGCTGACCATAATTTGAGAGGGGCAAGATAACAAACCAGCACACATCCACACACACATTATCCTCCAGTACCATAGATGCAGCAGTTTTTAGATGCTTCTTGATTGTAACAGAAGGCCAGGACTTTTCATTTGAAAGGGATCCGAGCAGCAAAAAACAAACAAAAAAATGGCTGCTAGATGTTTAGTAGTTTGTCAAGGTAAATAATCTGAACTGAACAGTTGTAATAAATACCAAATTTCCAATTAACCAAATTCTCAATTAACAAAACAAAAATATATTTTTCCTTAACAGAACTGAAAAAATCCCAACAGTGTGTCATGTGCAAGGCTAGTCTGCTTCCAGCTACAGCTAGTGCACAATGTCACGTGTCATCCATGCCTCACTCTTTTAATTCTTCCTCCTTTGGAAAGTGCTCTTGCTTGCAGGCCACATCCACCAGCAGATGAAGATCTAGAAAGAAAGGTTTGTTTACTTACTCTTAGCCTCTCAGACTGCAGGGTTCAATAGACAAGTCTTCAGACAAGAAGAACAAGTTGCTTATGTGTCTTAAATCATTATCTTATCAGATTCTCCATGTAAGGGCATCCCTGTACCTCTAAAGCACACAGATGCAGCCCATTTGTTAACCCAACAAGACCAACAAAGTTTAAAATTTCTATCCCTTTAGTGAAGTGGCCAAGCCTTTTTTCATTTAAAATGCCTTTAATTCTAAGTGAAAAGTTAAGTGTCAAAGGGATCAATTGAAAAATAGACATGAAAATTCATTTTTTTGATGCTATAAGAATAGGTGGGTGGGTTGTGGGAATATGGAAAAGTAATACCTTCTGAAATACAATCTTAAAACAGGTAATCACTACTTTTCCAAGTTGCATGCCCCATCAATTTTTCACTTACTGACTAGCTGATCTCTTATAAAAACATCTGAATTTGTCTGTAAAAAAAAAAAAAAAAAAAAAAAAAAAAAAAAGCATACCCTCCTGACAGAGGTCAGGAGGCAAAGAATAGTTGGTTCATTAAGAATGAAAAGAAGTGCCCTAGCCGGTTTGGCTCAGCAGATAGAGCATTGGCCTGCAGATTAATGGGTCCCGGGTTCGATTCTGGTCAAGGGCACATGCCTGATTTGTGGGCTCAGTTCCCAGTGGGGGACGTGCAGGAGGCAGCTGATCAATGATTCTCTCTCATCATTGATGTTCTAATCTCTCTCTCCCTTTCCCTTCCTCTCTGAAATCAATTAAAAAATAATAATTACAAATAAATAAATAAGAACTGAAAAAAGGTAAAAAAACTAAGCTTTCAGCTCAGGTACAAGGTTGTGTAACACAAAAAGCTAAGACCATGTATAGACGTAGACTAAATGGCTTATGTGAGTAACAAACAGAAATAAAAGGATGCTAATGAGACTTCTAGATTCAAACTTATAAACTCGTAACATGGCTAGGGAGCCTTTTTAGGTTGGTTCTGAAGCTTACTATTTTGCCCTAGTGGCATTTTAGAGTTAAACTAAAACTATACAGCACAAATCCTTTATTTCATTCTGGACAAACAGAGACTTTTATCACTATGTTTGTAGAACACAGCCTCTGTGGGATCAATCCACAGCCTGAGTGAGAGAGCGGATTCAATAAAATAATTCTACTACCACCTCCAAAAATCTAGAAAGCAGCTGAAATAGTACATAATTTTTGCCATATTTTGTAAAAAACCAGTCACTAGGGGCAGGCACTCGCTCATCTAGTGAAGTCCACCTATAATCGATCCATAAAGAGCAAGCAATTTATCCAGATGAGTATCTTACAGAGGAAGAATAGACCATCAGTTTAATGGTAAATTGGCTTCTTGCACATCCATGATCATGGCAGCATGATTCACAATAGACAAAAGGTGGAAGCAATCCAACTGCCCATCAACAAATGAATGGGTAAACAATAATAATTCACTGCATGTATTGCACGTAGCACATACATGCAATGGAATATTACTCAGGTTCAAATAGAAAGAGAATTCTAACACATACTACAACATGAATGAACCTTGAAGACATCACACTAATTGAAATAAGTCAGTCACAGAAGGTCAAATACTATTTGATTACACTTATATGAAGTACCAGGAGTAGTCGAATTTATAGAGACAGAAAGTAGAATGGTGGTTGCCAGGAGCTGCAGAGAAGAGAGTTACTGTGCAATGGATCCGGAGTTTCAGTTTGAAAAGATGAAAAAAAGATCTGGAGATGCTAATGGTAGTACAACAATGTGAATGTACTTAATGCAACTGAAATGTACACATAAAAATGGTTAAAATGGTAAATTGTATATTATGTATATCTTACCACAAAATGGCTTCTTTACAGTCTAAATAATGATAATGGTACTAATATACATATATATCACATCTTTTTTTCAAGTAACTAAAATTCACTACTATAAGGTCATCTAATTAATACAGAGGAGTAAATAGATACTCAGGGAAAGAACCATCAAGCTATATGGCTAACAAGTAAAGTCAGTGGTTTCTAAACCTTGCTGCACATTGCAATCCTTAAAAACAATACTGATGCTCATGGCTCCTACCCCATACATTCTGATTTAGTTGGTATAAAGTGCAACCTAGGTATCAGGATTTTTTTTTTAAATCCTCACCCGAGGTCATGCTTTCATTGATTTTGAGAGAGAGTAAGGGAGAGAGAAACATCAATGTGAGAGATAAACATTGATCAATTGCCTCATATATGCGCCCTGCACGGGGATCAAACCCTCAACCTTGGGTATGTGTCTCGACTGGGACTCAAACCCACGACCCTTCAGTGGACAGGATGATGCTCCAACTAGCCAGAGTGACATCTTTTGAAAGCTGACCAAAAGATGTAGAAAGAGAAACACCTACTTATGATCATTCTCTGAACACCTCAGCTCTATATCAGACAAAAAGGACGGGCCATATCGTAATGAAAAATACTAACATAAGATTTTGGAATATGAATAGACCCCACTGTAACCCAACTTTGAAAGCAGAGCAGTAATTCTTGATCATGACAAAGGTAAATACTATTAAAGCAACTATGCAGTGGGAGGCTGAAGGACAAAAGCAACAAACTCTATTCTTTTATTCAGTGAACAAATGTCATTTATTTAACTACTTAAGACTCTTTTATATTGATAGGTTCAAATTATGGACAAGAGCATATCACAGATAGGCATGTTTAAAATAACAGTAGATATAAGGCTCTATAACAGCCTTGAAGTGAGTTATGTAAATTAGTGTGAGCAACAAACCCTCTTAATCTTTTTTTTGTTTGTTTTTTGTTTTGCATGTAATTTTTATTTTTTATTTTTTTCAAACCCTCTTAATCTTAATGCTTGGCTTTAAAGTAGCATTTGGCACACAGCTTCTAATAACAAGCATCTAAACAATAATTTTATTAAAGTGAGTTTCTTTAATTAGCAAAGGAGTTAGAATCTATAGACCAATAAAAATACAAAAAGACATACACCAGCCTAGTGCTAATAGAGGTTTATATGACTTCATTCAGAAGAGAACCTTGCATACTCATCAGAGAAGGTAAGTATTTGGGAATCACAGCACCTTCGTTGGTTTGAGAGCTGAAAGGCCTTGAGGGACAAGGGCATTGTATTTATTTGGGAATGTTAATTCTTTTTTTAAAAATATATTTTACTGATTTTTTACAGATAGAGGAAGGGAGAGGGATAGAGAGTTAGAAACATCCATGAGAGAGAAACATCGATCAACTGCCTCCTGCACACCCCCTACTGGGGATGTCCCCGCAACCAAGGTACATGCCCTTGACCGGAATAGAACCTGGGACCTTTCAGTCCGCAGGCTGACGCTCTATACACTGAGCCAAACCGGTTAGGGCTGGGAATGTTAATTCTTATTGCAAGCACTCTCCAGGGTCTTGGGGCTATTACTTTAATGAAATTTCACCCATAATCCAACAGGCACAAAATTCCTTTCTTCCAGAATGAACTGAACTCTTAAACATTCAGTTTCCCTTAACTATAAATATCCCATCAGAATATAGGACAGTGTAGTTTCCACAATAAGATTACTATTTGGGTATATTCAGTTTAGGGTAATATCATTATAGAAATTGGAGGTACATGATTGAGTCTAATTTGATTTAACTCTTGGTATTTTTAATCCATAAGTTATTTCCTTAAGTCTAAATGTGCTCAAAAGCATGGCAAAGCCTGATTAACAACCTCCTTCTAACAAAATGCCTATCTATTGAGATCAACATGTGGATACAAATCTAATTGAAGTCACTTATTAAAAAAAGATTCAAAGAAATCTTGAAGTATGAGGAGATGCCCCTACCCTAAACAGAGCAGATTTTCAAAATAGGTCAGTTACAGAAGGGCTCTGATAAGTTCTGGAATACAGAATGCTCCTGTTCAACAGGATACTGAGCAACATAATGACATTCCCACATTTAATGGTAGAAGGAGTAGCAGAATTTGGAGCCAAAGAAGTCTTGAAGGTGGTTTCTTAAAAATATAATGTATTATGAGAGCTGGAACCTTTATTTATTTATTTGTTTGTTTGTTTGTTTATTTTTATTTTAGAAAGCAAGGAAGGGAGAAACATTGATTTGTTGTTCCTCTTCTTTATGCATTCATTGGTTGAACCTGCAACCTTGGCATATAGGGCAGTGATGGCGAACCTTTTGAGCTCAGCGTGTCAGCATTTTGAAAAACCCTAACTTAACTCTGGTGCCGTGTCACATATAGAAATTTTTTGATATTTGCAACCATAGTAAAACAAAGATTTATATTTTTGATATTTATTTTACATATTTAAATGCCATTTAACAAAGAAAAATCAACCAAAAAAATGAGTTCGCGTGTCACCTCTGACACGCATGTCATAGGTTCGCCATCACTGATATAGGGACTACATTCTAATCAACTGAGTTACCCAGCCAGGGTGAGAGCTGGAACCTTATTGAAGCTCCACTACTATCATTACTCTTAATGATAGTGACAGTTGAAATTTTATATTTGGCTCCTATCATTTAATCATTTATCTTTGGAGTTCAGTATCTATCAAAATAAAAAAACATTTGTGGTCTTGTGGTTTTGGTTTTTCAGTTAATCCTCACCTGAGGAAGTTTTCTTCATTGTTTTTGTTTGTTTGTTTGTTTTTTAGAGAGAGTGAAAGGGAGGGGGAGAGACAGAGAGAAACATGGATGTGAGAGAGACACAGCGATTGGTTGCCTCTCGACCAGGGCTGGGGATCGAGCCTACAACTGAGGTATGAGCCTTTGACCAGAATCAAACCTGGGACCCTTCAGACAGCCTGACACTCTATCCACTGAGCCAAACCAGCTATGGCAATAAAAAAGATCTGGGCATCTACAAGAACTATATTGAATACTAGTCCATTGTGAACCCTCTCCACAAGTACCTTCTTACTCTCTTAAGGGCTTCTCTGGTCATCAATGATCAGGGCTGTGAAAAGATCAGAAGCTAAGCACAAAGACTTTCTAATACAAGGTGCAATAAAATGAATGCCCAATTTATACATTGAAACATAACCCGCAATGTGATGGTGTTAGAAGATGGTTCCTTTGGGAAGTAATTAGGGCATGAGGGTGGAGCCCTTATAAATGAGATTAGTACCCTTATAAAAGAAATCCCAGAGAGCTCCCTTGTTCCTTCTGCCATGAACGGGCACAGTAAGAGGGTGGCCATCTATGAACCACGAACAGGGCCCTCGCCAGACAATGAATCTGTTGGTGCCTTAATCTTAGACTTCCCAGCCTCCAGAACTGTGAGAAATAAATTTCTGTTGTTTATAAGTCACCTACTCTATGGTATTTTTTTTATAGCAGCCTTAACAGAACAAGATACAGACAAGCAAACTTTTTCTGTAATGAGCTAGATATTAAATATTTTAGGCTTTGTGGGCCATATGGCTGGCCTCTATTGCAACTGCTCAACTCTGCTACTGTGGTGTAAAAACAGCCATAGATAATATGCAAATGAATGCCTGCGGCTGTGTGTTCCAATTAAACTTTATTTATGAACACTGAAATTTGAATTCCGTATCGTCTGTGTGTCGTAAAATATTCTTCTTTTGATTCCCCCCAACCATTTAAAAGGTAAAAACCATGCATATCATGCAGGCCACATAAAAACAGGCAGATGCTAGACTTGGTCTATGGGCCATAGTTTACCAACTGCTATACTCAAGAGAAATTTAACCAAAACAGGAGAAGATTTCATCAAATAGAATATTGGTATAATAGTTGTCAAAAAATTATCTTTTCTCCAAATGGTCAACAAGCACATGAGAAGATGTTCAATATGGTTAGCCATTAGGAAATACAATCAAAACCACAATGAGAAAGCACTTCATACCCACCAGGATGACTACAATAATAATAAAAAGTGGAAAATAACAAGTGTTAGAGAGGATGTGGAACAATGGGAAGCTTGAATATTGTTGTTGGGAATGTAAAATGGGTCAGCTATTACAAAAAACAACAACAGTTTGGCAGATCCCTGACCCTATTAAAATGAAAATGTAATCAGATGTCATAATATTGCCAATATTTCACAACTTTTCTGCCTAAAACAATAATTAATTCTGGGCTCCTACAAACTGCAGAAGCAATCCCATTGATAGAGCCATACTTTATACTATCTTTATAATATGCTCAGGATAATGTTTTTAATGTTCATCTAATTTTTTCCTGCCATAATTTAAACACTTTCCTGCCGTATTTAAGCCTGTTAATAAGAGAACAAGTACAACTATAATTACAAAGTCTATGGAGTCAGAAGCAATTATGAAATCACCTTTCATCCTTGCCTTCTCCAAGTTAAATAACCCAAATTCCTTTGCTTTTACTTAATATGTACTATCTTTTTGAAAGCTCAAATTCTTACATGAAGTATTCTAAAAAAAACTTTTACATACTTTACAAGGATAATTAAGAAAAATAGTTAAAATTACAGCTATGTAAAGTAGCAATGTGATAAGTAAAATACAATTAATAAATAATAAAGATCCAGAAAAATTGTTGTTCATATATTAATTCTACACCATGGTTCTACCTCTAACATTCTAGAGCACAATAATCCTTACCAGGGGACTTTCCTTGCTGTGAGCTGCTTCTTCGCTCCCTGTATCTGACTGGAGTGGATAAATCTGTGTCTTTACTAGGCTTGCTAGCAGGCCCCATCTCTGAAATAAGGAATCCCATCTGTTCTGAAGGCAAGATATTCTCAGGTGGATTGGTCTGGCATTTTATACTGGCATCCACCTAAAATATTAAACCCACTCATTATTCTGAATTTCTATCAAATTATCAGAGGAGTTCTATTATAGAAACATGACCCAACAAATGTACTTGTAAACATCCTTATGAATGATATTACCTTTGATTTTGTTGATTTAATCTGAATATTCAGTAGTAAAATGTATATTTCCCTATACACAGACTGTTAAAATGTATGTGGAACCAAAACATTTACTTATACAAAACTTACTAATTTTTTTTTTTGGTAAAATTCACACACACAAAAATTTACAATTGGTTAAAGTTATCTTTTTCCAGTCTAGCATCCCTTTCATCAGGTTGCCCCTCGGTTGGTTATATTGCAGTGGTCATAGGCATAACCCTGTTGGATATCAGTGAGGACACTTTATTCTCCTAATTCTGTATTCTTTGTCTTAAACAGGCTCTTAGTCCCTATAAAATCTAGATCTGTCCTGCTTATGAGATATGAGTTTCTTTCTTGGAGCTCCTAAGTTTTCGTTGGAATGTCAAATCCCTTTGTAAAGGTGACCGAATTCTGAAATACTCTATTTCGTGTGTTTTATTAATACTCTATTTCTTTATGAATTTATTTTAAAATAGAACTATATAATGCAATAAAGCTTATTAATTCTAAAAACGGATTTTAAATATATGTACTTTTATTTAGAATTGAAGTTTACTCATTTTCTGGTCAAAAACTAGCAGCAATAAAGAATTAGCCTCTACCTTGAGAATATGTCTGTCAAACTAGAGTCAGAGTTCTGCTTTAGGAATGCCGATATTAGTAAGGAAGTTCAAACAGAGTACTCACAAGTCAATTAGAATTCAGTAATGCTGTAAGAAAGCATAAAAAGACTTCCAACCATCTCCTTATTTCCATGCTATAAATGGCTAGGAAGTCCTGATATTATCTGTCAGATAAACCATCCTTTCTGAGTAGTGGAATTTAATCAGCCAAGCATACCTAGTCCATCCAAATCAAGATAGGAAGCAAAACTCAAGGAATGCTTTTAACATGTAAATAAGTCTTAAACCACAGTGCTCAGTCAGACTGGCTGTCTAGAGGTTGACTTCAGACCACAACATCGTGAGAAGAGGCCTGCGAGTTAAGGTTACTTCTTTCTGAATCTTTTGTGCAGAACCACTGGGACAGGATCCTTCTAGAAAGCACAACCCAAATAAAATCTGAACAAACTCTCCACTAGAACAGCAAAAAAACTAGGTACTTAAGCTTTATTAGCACTTCTTCTTTTCCCCTTACCTGATGTGGGCTGAACGGTAGCCCTTCCTGCACAAATACTACTGAAGGTGGAGATGGATTATGACTTAGATGCTCCTTCAGTTTGACATGAGCTTGTTGGATGGCTGCAGATTCCTGCATTGTAGTATTTTCAACAGGCTGAGCTGTGTGGATGGTATACATGTACTCAGGTGACTGTGGTAGAGAGCAGGAAATTGCTTGTTCTGTTCCGACCACAAAAGATGTAATATCTGAACCTACAGGAGTAAGTGGCTCCAGCTGGCTAGCCTGACTTGTGGAAGATGGATTGTTATTGCTTGAATTAGCTAGGATATGTTGGCCTCTGTTAGACTGAGATGTTGGGCACTGATTCTCAACAGGCTCCACCTTTACCATCTCCAATTTAGGGGAGGAATGCAATTCATCTAAGATCCGAAAAACAGCCTCTAGGTTTACTTCTGTCTTTTTATTTTCATCAGTAGTACCACAAGGCCAATTAGAAGGCAGAAACTCAACTGGATAGGAGGATGGCATTGGAGGATTCTGGGAAAAGAGAAAATAGGACTGTTTGGATAGAAAATTCAAATATGAGGTTAAGGAGGAAAGAAACAGCATATAGACGATGAATGCTAAACATAAATAGATTAAACTTAAAGCTTATTTTAAAAAAACTTGAACACTAATCAACTTTTCAGCAGTGATAGCCTCAATTCTATTTTCACCATTTACTTAGCAACTATTATGTGTCAACCACTATACTAAGTTTAATACCGGAATGGATCAATCATTTTCAGGGCTAAAATATACAAAATCAAAAGGCTATAGTACCCCAAAACTTAATTTGCTGATAAAATGTCTATATATCAAGTTCTTCCATATAGGTTGGCAGACAAAAACATCACTTGTATCTATTATATATTTGTATCTATCATATACTACTATAGGAATGTAGTAAGGAAATTTCAAACACAAGATGCTCACAAGTCCACCAAAGCTTCTATAGATTCAGGGGGAGGTACTGTTCCAAATGATCTGAGAAAAAAAATGGATGGAATATCGACTGGCCTTTGGTTCCTGAGATTATTTTTAATAATAAAACAATAGATTTAAAAATAGCTGTCACTTCTAGATTGATCTTTAAGATGTATTCTCTTATACATTGTATTTTGCACAGAGTAGGCATTCAATTACATGTTTGGTGATAAATGATCTCAAGCTATGATATAAAATACTGAAAAGTAATGATTAAATAAAATGTAATGAATTGATGTTGCCAAATGTAGAGCTTTGCACAGAACAGGCATTCAATAATAGTTTGTTGATTATCTCAGATTATAAACCTAAAATACAGAAGAGTTATGATTAAATAAAACATGTAGTGTGTCCATGTTGCCAAATACACTAAAAAGACTGTCAATAATTTAAAGAACACTAATGCCAAATAATGTAAATTTAATTGTTTAATTTTATGTCTACTTATCTTTATTTTCCTATAATAAACATGCATTGTCCTGTAGTAAGAAAAAGTCTTTAAAGATGTTTTAAATTATTTAAGACAAACATAATCAAGATATGAACATTGTTAGAATATCGCCAGTATGATTCAGGGAGAGGGTTCTGGATCCACAAATAAGAGCATCCATTTTGTGTGACAGATATGTCCTTCTAGTAAAGATAAATAGATTGGACTATCATGATTGATGATATCTGCCATTAAAAATGTCCAACTAAGCCTGGCCCATGTGGCTCAGTGGTTGAGTGTTGACCTATGAAGCAGGAGGTCATGGTTCAATTCCCAGTCAGGGCACATGCCCAAGTTGTGGGCTCGATCCCCAGTGGTGTGCAGGAGATAGCCAATTAATGATTCACGCACTCTCAATCTCTCTTTCTCTTTCTCTCCCCCCTTCCTTTCTGAAATCAATAAAAATATATTAAAAAACAAAAAAGGAGACTATTTTTTTAAATGTCCAACTAAGCCCCCTGATCCACTTCTATACTCTCCAAACAACAATCTAACTATAATTTGACACCCCATGTAGACTTTTTCAAAAAAAAAAAAAGGAATGTTCTTTTGGAATGCCACTAGTAAGATATTCTCTTAAGAATGGAAGCTATTTTGGCTACATAATATCAAAGGCAAACACATAATTCCAATCTTTAAGCAATTATAGCATAAAATACAAAGCACAGAATTTAATCTTATCTAGAAATAGCAATCTAAAACAACTGTTTCATAATAAATAATGAGAAACTAATTGAAGTAAACAAAATTTTTAAAGGGAAAGGATTTCAGATGTCATTTTGGAAATAAGTGCATAAGTTGGACTGTAGGTATTGGTGAGAGTACACGAATGGTCAGTCTATTGTAATGGTTTACAACTTGGAGGCTGAAGGACCACCACTTAAATTTCTTTTTTTTTTTAATATATTTTATTGATTTCTTACAGAGAGGAAGGGAGAGGGATAGAGAGTCAGAAACATCGATGAGAGAGAAACATCGATCAGCTGCCTCCTGCACATCCACTGGGGATGTGCCCGCAACCCAAGTACATGCCCTTGACCGGAATCGAACCTGGGACCTTTCAGTCCACAGGCAGACGCTCTATCCACTGAGCCAAACCGGCTTTGGCCACTTAAATTTCTTGTTTTTTAATATCATTTTTCTTTTCTCCTTAAAAAAAAGTAATTATCCACTCATCTGCTGATGGACACTTAGGCTGTTTCCAAATCTTAGCTATGGTGAATTGTGCTGCTACGAACATAGGGGTGCATATATCCTTTCTGATTGGTGTTTCTGGCTTCTTGGGATATATTCCTAGAAGTGGAATCACTGGGTCAAATGGGAGTTCCATTTTTAGTTTTTTGAGGAAACTCCATACTGTTCTCCACAGTGGCTGCACCAGTCTGCATTCCCATCAGCAGTGCAGAAGTGTTCCTTTTTCTCCACATCCTCTTGAACACTTGTTGTTTGTTGATTTGTTGATGATAGCCATTCTGACAGGTGTGAGATGATACCGCATTGTCGTTTTGATTTGCATCTCTCGTATAATTAGTGACTTTGAGCATGTTTTCATATGTCTTTCGGCATTCTGTATGTCCTCTTTTGAAAAGTGTCTATTTAGGTCCGTTGCACATTTTTTGATTTGGAAACAGCCTAAGTGTCCATCAGCAGATGAGTGGATTAAAAAACTGTGGTACATCAACACAATGGAATACTACGCGGTAAAAAAGAAGGAATTACTGCCATTTGCAACAGCATGGATGGAACTGGAGAGCATTATGCTAAGTGAAATAAGCCAGTCAGAGAAAGATAAATACATGATCTCACTCATTTGTGGAATATAGAGAACAACATAGACTGATGAACAGGGACAGATCCAAAGACAGAGAAACAGCCATCAGACTATCAATCCCCAGAGGGAAAGTAGGGGAGGGAGGGGGTAAGGGGAAGAGATCAACCAAAGGACTTGTATGCATGCAAATAAGCCAAACCGATGGACATGGACAACAGGGGGATGAGAGCATGAGTGTGTGTGTGTGGGGGGGGGGGTGCGGGAAGGTTGGGGGTTAATGGGAAATGAGGACACATTTGTAATACCTTAACCAATAAAGAAATTTTTTTAAAAAGTATCTACACCACCTCGAAACAATCTGTCATTTGGTGACATATATTTTAAGAGTTACCTGGTATTTATTTTGCCATGGGAGCACCAAGAATAAATGTTCCAACTAGCCTATGAGACTACAGAGCACTTGAAATGTGATTAGTATGACTGAGGAATAAGTTTTATTTAATTTTAATTTTAATAACCACATGTGACTAGTGCCTACTATATTGGTCAGTGCAGGCCTAGAAGAATCCTCAGACATCATTTATGTCAACTCTCTATTTTTAGAATTGCGAAAACTGAGGCCATAATCCACAGCTTACCTGTGGTTACTCATTAAGATAAAATTACACTTTGAAATTCTGCAAGGTTAATACTATTGCATCTGATACACAGAGTATGTCCATTGTTCCAAGATCTTACCTGGAAGTAGTTGCAGTGTGCATAGGTAGAGGCAGTGGGAGTGACACAACTGCTGAGAGCGTCCATGTGGGTAGAAGGAGAGCAGCACTGTAATACAGCTGGAACGAATTCAAAATACAAAGTCCATCAACCAAAATAAACCTCTATAGCAGCGGTTCTCAACCTGTGGGTTGCAACCCCTTTGGCGGTCGAACGACCCTTTCACAGGGGTTGTCTAAGACCATCCTGCATATCAGATATTTATTTACATTATGATTCATAACAGTAGCAACATTACAGTTATGAAGTAGCAACGAAAATAATTTTATAGTTGGGTCACAACATGAGGAACTGTATTTAAAGGGCCAGAAGGTTGAGAACCACTGCTCTATAGCATTCAAGGTACTCACCTCTTTTATCTTGGAAAAGAGTACTTTCCTTTGTGGGTGCAATAAAATGTATTTAGTCAGTTAGGTGCTATTGTTTGTTGAAAACATGATACAAAATTAATTTTAAAAGTCATTTAATAGTGTCATGTCTAATTTTATAAATGATTTCTTAGCACCTAAACATTTTTGTATCTTTCTAACCAAACATTAACTGTTATTAAATGTAATTTCTTTTTGTTGAAAATATCAGAACATATTTGGAATTCCAAAATAATTATTTCAATCATTTTAACAGTAGCACACACTTGGAGGAGGAGGTGTTTTTAAGGATAAAATAAGTATGAAATATTCTCCGAACAGTTCTACCATTATATAATGCATCCAGTGAGATCTATGCAAAAAAATGTTTTAACCATGACAAGTGGTTAGGAATTCAGATCCTAGCATCAGACTGCCCAGCTTTGGACCCCAGAACCAAAATTTAAAATATGGGTTTTTTAAAATAATCAATCCCCTTATTTTTTTAATTTATTTTAAAAATATATATTTTTATTTATTTCAGAGAGGGAGAGGGAGAGAAAGATAGAAACATCAATGATGACAATCATTGATCGGCTACCTCCTGCACATCCCCTATTGGGGATCAAGCCCACAACCTGATCATGTGCCCTCGATAGGAATGGAACCCAGGACCCCTCAGTCTGCAGGCTGATGTCCACTGAGCCAAACCAACTAAGGCTAAAGTTATCTTTTTTTAAAATAGTATTTTTTTAAAATGTGCTTTTATTGATTTCATAGAGAGGAAGGGAGAGGAAGAGAGAGAAACATCAATGTGAGAGAGAAACATTGATTAGCTGCCTTCTGCACACCCCCTAGTGGGGATTGAGCCCACAACCCAGATATGTGCCTTGACTAGGAATCAAACTGATGACCTGTTGGTAGATGGGACGATGGTCAACCAATTGAGCCACACTGTCCAGGGCGAGATCCAAAAATTTAACAGCTGCATAAACGTGAGCAGGTTAATCTCTTTGGCTTCAGTTTCTGCATCCCATTAGAATAGGGATGATAATAGTACCCACCTAACATGTTTGTTGTGAGGAATGAATGAGTTAATATGCATAAAGAACTTAGAGTAATACTGGCATACAGTAAGCAATCAATCAATAAATAGCTAACACTGCTATTATTTTACTGAAAAAAAACATTTTCCAAAGTTTCTCTTTATAGCAGGTTACCATGAAAAGATTGAACTCTTTATACTGGGATAGTTATACTCACAGATGCAGTCTTAAAAATAGGTTGAGTCTTCTCTTTTCCAGAGAGAGACTCTCCAGAATGAATGAAAATCAGTTATTATATCATACCTTTGGATTAAACAGAGGATGATATTTATTGAGCACCTACCATGTTGCAGGCACTGTACTAGTGCTTTACATATATTATCTCATTTAATTCAAACAACGATTGAATGAGATATTACCATTAATTTACAAAAATAAGGAAACTAAAGCTCAGAGACATGAAATAATTTGCCAAAAGTCACAAAGTGGGTAATGATAGATGCACTGATCAAAATCCAAAACATGTTTCCTTTAATAACCCACAATACTTCCCTAATCTTCCTTCTTCCTGAAATGTAATACTTTACTAGAATTCTACTTGAACATTTTTAAAGTGTCTTTATTACAAGGTGCAACTCTCTCTCTTCTTATACAAATTTTTCATATTTCCAGTGCTCTAATACTATTACTAAATAGCCTGGCAAGTGTTGCTCAGTGGTTGGGCATCAATCTGTGAGCAGATGCTCACAGTTCGATTCCTGGTCAGAGCACATACCTGGGTTGCAGGCTTGATCCCCAGTAGGGGGCATGCAGGAGGCAGCCGATCAATGATTCGCTTTCATCATTGATGTTTCTATCTCTCTCTTCCTCTCCCATCCTCTCTGAAATCAATAAAAATATATATTTTAAAATTACTAAAAAATCTCATTCTGTAATCTTTGAAAGTAAATTAGCCCAAGGATTGTAAAAATGCATTGAAATGTTTTCCTATTTCTCCATTATTGACTACTGATCTTATATCGATGTGCAATTTAAGACATCAAATTTTGCACATGTAAAGAAAAACTTGAAATAATGGATAGAAGTCTAGATATAGATATTGCTAAGAAGGTCACATAAAATTCAGGCTGTTGTGACCTGCTTTATCCTTGAGGGTTTTTAAAATTTACAATTAAAATGTTATGATCTGAATTTGGTTTCCCAGAATATTTAAAAGCATAAATATCCTGAGAAATAAGTTAAACACCGAGGAGGGGTCTGCATGGTTTGCCAAAACTCTGAAAAAAATCCAGACTTTTTTCTAGTGTTTTAACAGCTAGGGAAAACCTAGCCCCCTAGTGGCAGGAAAAGAGTTAGAGGTGCAGGTTTACACCCATCAGGGCAACATTAGTGTTTCATTAAAAATATATCAATGATGTGAAGGGATTAAGAAAAAAAAAAACACATTATATATACACAAACAACAGTGTGGTATTAGCCAGAGGGGAAAGGGGATGTGGAGGCTAGTGGAGGTGGGCAAAGGGGAAGAAAATGGGGATGGACAGAGACTGCTTTAGGCGAAGGGCACACCAGCAGAGCACAGACGTTTTGTTGAGTTGTACACTTAAAACCTGTATGGTTTTGTGAACCAATGTCATCCCAATAAATTCAATAAAGAAAAAAATAAAGTGATGAAAAAATATTGGCTTTATTTTTCTGATATTGCTATATCTGACTCCATTGGTTATACATTTTAAATAGTTGTTAAACGTGTACTTTAAAATAAATTTCTTGGAGAAATAAAATAGAATACAGTGGGGCCTTGACTTAGGAGTGTCCCAACTAACGAGTTTTTCGAGATACGAGTCGTCTCTCGGCCGATTTTTTGCTTTGAGTTGCGAGCTAAAATTTGGGTTACGAGCCAGCTTCAGATACCCCACCGCTAGCTGGCGCAGCAAACATCACAGTGAACGCCACAACATCAGCCCAGCATCATGTGTCATTGTAATGGTGAAAATTGATTTGACATACAAGTAATTTGAGTTACGAGCTCCGTCACAGAACGAATTAAACTTGTAAGTCAAGGCCCCACTGTATACAACAGAGAAAATATGTGTAGCTGATAACTGATTTGGTATCTAAGAAAACAGCATTATAGTGAATGTCCTTTAAGGTGCCCAGTAACAAATGAAAAGTAGAAAGTTACCTCATGAAAAAAAACACTTGAATAGATAATCCAAAAAGATTCCTCAATGGCTATTTCCTTACCCATGCAGTCCTACTTTGTATAGTTAACAAAATAGAACAAAGCCAGGTGCATTATCAGTAAGCTTATTGAATATGAAAACCTAGCTACAGAAATGTAACTGTGTCCTTAATACATGAAAAATTAATCTAGTGTGTTATGAGTTTATCACTATGTCCTAAAACACATTCTTCTGTATAAAAAAACTTCCAGTGTCATCCTGAAGGCAGTATTAAGGCATTAAGTTGCATGTAGGATGAAAAGCTAAAATAATGAACAAGAGTTTATCTCAGATATAAATATGAGGTGATTACAGTTTTAAAACAATTCTAATAATTAAAAATAAGCCAGATTACTAAAAATTACCTAAAGGTAAATTTTTTCAAAAAATAATAAAGGTAAAAATTTTCACTCCCACTATGAAAATAACATCATAGGGAAAAAATTGAATTCAAGAATAAGACAAAAGTAAAAAGAGTCAATTAATAATGAATCTACATTTTGTCTTTGAAGGAGTGACAAGAATGAAAAAAATGTAAATGAGCTAGGCAGAGAAAACAGACGCTTCAAGAGAGGAATGAAAAATGTAAGGAATGATTCTGCCGAAACCGGTTTGGCTCAGTGGATAGAGCGTCGGCCTGCGGACTGAAGGGTCCCAGGGTCGATTCCGGTCAAGGGCATGTACCTGGGTTGCGGGCACATCCCCAGTGGGAGATGTGCAGGAGGCAGCTGATCGATGTTTCTAACTCTCTGTCTCTCTCCCTTCCTCTCTGTGAAAAATCAATAAAATATATATTTTTTTTAAAAAAAATGTAAGGAATGATTCAGATGAGTCATTTTATGAGTCAGTCTGATGGCAATTTTTTAGTCTCAATATTTGGCTTTACTAAAGAAATTAATTTATGAAATATAACAAAATTCAAAATTTACTGGTTATGCTATAGAAAGACCAGATCCAAGTTTATTTTCAATATAAGTAATTTTTAAATGAAGTTGGATGTTGTTTTTTTTACTAAAATTTAATCAAAACCTCCCCAAGTCATATAGCTTACTTCAAAAGGATTCAAAAGTATGACCATTATTCTAAAATTAGTTACTTTATTAGGACTTACAGAGCTGGATTTTGGAGTGATTATTATCCTGCCTCTGAGAATAATATTCTATGTAACTTTGGGAAAGTTATTTGGAATGCTCTTCATAAATACGTATTTACTAAGTTATTGGTTAAATTGCTTACTACTTTTTGCTTCCTTACCCTAAAGTTTGAAAGAATTAAGTATTTGCACAGTATTTTTATGGCATTTTCTTTTCCATAGAAGGTCTTTTATACTTAACAGTACAACTTTTTATTTATAACGTACTTCAGAATGTTCAGAGCAGTTTTGCCTACATTAGAGCATAGAACTACTCATATATTAGAAGTCATCATGAGGTCTCTTATTCTCATAACCTCAGAAACTTTATAGTCATTTCAATTATCGCTCTTAAAGAAGACAAAAGTTCAGATAACAAGATTCTATTTCATAAGCACCATACACATCAAAATATCAGCACTTAGTTATTTTACTTTATTTATTTATTTTTAAATATATTTTTATTGATTTCAGAGAGGAAGGGAGAGGGAGAGAAAAACAGGAACATAAGTGATGAGAGAGAATCATTCATAGGCTGCCTTCTGCATGCCACACACCAAGGATCTAGCCCACAACCCGGGCATGTGCCCTGACCAATAATTGAACCATGACTTCCTGGTTTATAGGTCGATGCTCAACCACTGAGCCATGCTGGCTGGGCCTTACTTGTTATTTTAATGTTTCTTTCCTAGTCCTTGCCTTGAACTCTTGGAGATAATTTTCAATTTATAAATTTATATCCAAGCTAACATAAAATATTTTTAGCCTGCAGGAGACAGATGATCAATAATTCTCTCTTATCACTGATGTTTCTCTCTCCCCCTCCCTTCCTCTGAAATCAATAAAAAAATATTTTAAAAAATATTTTAAAATAACATGTCCTAAATCATAATTTTAAAAATATTTCTATAATGAATGAATAATATTAACTATTTATAGTGTTTTCTGATAAGTAATAAATAACTGGTTCTCAAAAAATTTAGAACTAGGAGTTTCCAAATTGGAATTTGGAATACATTTTCCCATAGAAACATTATACAGGCTAGCTTGACTTTTCAGCCAGACTGTAACCATCTGTACCTTAAGTGTAGGAATATAGTAATAGCAATATAGAAGCTAGTATCTAATATGTCCATAGAAAATGCCTCCAAAATTCCAAATTGGAAGGACAAACATATTTCTACATCTCCCTGCTGCAGTCTTCCCAAATTTCCACTCTCCAGAAGCTTTTTTGAGTCTCTAATAAGTTTAAGGAGGAGGGTTTGAAGGGGGTTAGGAAAGAAAAGAGAAACATTTCTTGGTAAAAGGAGAGGAGGTAGGGTTACTGTCTAGTTTACAGGGCTACAGAAAATAAAGCAAGTGTATGGAAGACACAGACTATCTCTATGTATATATTCTATGGGAATACAGGGAATGTAACCAAAATTGTAATGTAGACAGTCATGCCTAATGTGTTTATTAAAATATTGGATTAAGCTCACTAATAAAGATCTGGCCCTATTTGTTGCTATACATAAGATATATAACTTACAACATAAAATTTGTCATCTTCTGTTTTTAAAGATCACACGGATATTTTTGTTCTTCAAAGAAGTAGCTGACAATCTGGAAAAATACTAGGCCTCGTCTAGTAATTCCCTTATCTAATTTACATTCCTTCCATTTATTTTAGCTTTTGATGTCATTCTGCCAGAGAAAAATAGTCTAACAAATACTTCTAGAGATTGCTTCCAGATCTATATATCGTGAGTAAATTAATTTGCCTAGAATCTTAACTCATAGGGCAAAAAAATGCCCCCTTCTTCTCTCTGGTCTTTTCTGAAAGTCTTGACCCTTGTCTTGTTTCTATTGCCCCATTTCATCACTATGTAAAGCACAATACATGATGAAACACACACTACAGCTATGCTGCTTCTGCAAAACAGACTATACATTTGAGTAAAATGGTAAGGCTATTACTCTGCAAAAATGTCTTTCCCCCTCCAAAAAATACACCCCACCCCCCCCCACCCCCGCCAAGCTAAACTGATGGTCACTATCATAAGGATTCCCAATTAGCGGCTTGAGATCTACCAGTATGTCTTCAATGCCTTTGGTTGAGTTCTAAGTCAATTGTCATTGTCAGGTCCTCCTCTCTGCTATTCCCCAGTTCTTAGTTGGCTGGGACTGTACTGTCAAACCACACCATCACATTTTTACTAAGAGAATATAATTTAGTTTTAAGAGATGGAAAGCATGCTCTTTTATTAAATAAACTTCATTACTAAGATACTAAAATGACTTCATTATGAGGTAATCTCACCTTTAAAATTAAATATATGTAAAACATATAGTATGTATATATTTTTAAAAAGAGAAAATAATTCTGCACCAAGGACAGAGTTATAGTAAGGTTCAGTGTACTTAATCTTAATTTCATTACTACAACAGTTTGAGGATCCAAACATTTCACTAAAAATATACACCTTTATGCAAGAATGGAATTTTTACAATCCTTAAGAACACATGAAATTTTATATATTGTTTAAAAATATGTCTTGATGAGAAATCTTTGACATTTCTTAGGAGCATATTCCTAGTACTTTTGTTTAAGCATGCAGAAATGCATTTAAACATATAAATGCTCCTTACAAAGTAGTGCCTTAAGAGAAGCCATTGAATTTGAATTTCTCATACCTGTTGGATAGTAGGCTTGGGAGTACTGTGCTGAGGGTGTGTAGTTACTATATTTTTGGGAGGAGTTGACCATTGTTTGAGGACCTTGCTGAACATGTACGGATGTGGCGCTGGGCTGCAGAGTATAGGTAACTTCAGTTGGAAACCTCTGCAGGACAGGAAATGGAACCCCTTTATCTGAAAAAGTAGGAGACGTTTCTACTTGTCCTGGGTGCATTCCAAGGGAGTTCTGCCATGTTCTAGGAGGAATCGGGGTCCGATCTAAACCTTTCAGAGGAAAGGTACTGTGGTTGTGGGATGAAGTTGATACGTAGGAATAAGGAGACAGACTATCACGCCGGAATGACCGATGGAACTGTCCTACAGCCACTGGTCCTGCATAAAAGAGGAAAAGCACATTTACTAATTTTAAATTACACCCTGGACATAGTAAACCAAAAGTCAAAAAATACATACTACTCTTCACCTGTGAAATGTTGAGTTTTCAGTCATCTTTAACACAACAGAAATTAAGTATTGTAAAAACAAACAGAATATGAGGTTACACATAAAATGCTGAAAAAATAATCAAATAAACTTTTGTTTGGTTTTCAATATGTCATAAGAGACAAAGTGACCAAACTTTTAAAATTAAATCAAGTGTAAATCAATATTCAATGTTAAAAGCCTTTTATAAATTATTCAGTCATCTTACCTTTTACCTCAATTGATTGACCCAGATTTTTCCAATCTGTAAGTTACTTCCTAGAAGTTTCAGAAATCCCATTCTGTCTTTAAAATCATTTAGGAACCGTAATAATAGGCACGAAAATAAGCGCTCAACCATATACATAAAAGAAATAAGTGTGGAACAAATAAGAAGTATAATACAAACCAAAATAAATTTAATCTTCTTTGCCTCCTTTCAATTTTTTTTTTATTATAATCTTCACCCTGGCCGGTGTGGCTCAGTTGGTTGAGCATCACCCTGTGCACTGAAAGGTCACTGGTTCAATTCCTGGTCCCGGCACGTACCCAGGATTTGGGCTCAATCTCAGTCAGGTTGTGCGCAGGAGGCAGCCAATTGATGTTTCTCACATCGATGTTTCTCTCTCCCTAAAGTCAATTTCAAAACACATACTTTTAAAAATGATCATCTTTGCAGAAAAGTCAGGCTTGAAAACTTTTAGTTCTCTTTTTCATTCCTTAAATCAATCAATAATTTCCATGGTCTTTTTTTCTTCAAAGTATCTCTAGTAGTGTCCCTTCCTAGATATCAGTGGCTCTCAAAAACTGATTTACATTTGAGTCACCTAGAGTTTGTTTGTTAAAAATCCACATACGCAGACCCAGAAATTCTGATTATTTGCTTTCTCTTATCTTGCAAGGTAGAAAGGAATTAAAAAGCGGATATGAGTAAGAAAAATACTATGTAATACTATGTAATGGGCAATACTATGTAATGAGAAAAAAAATATATGTCACAAGCTGAACTTATTTTATAGACTGAGGTTCTTGAACATAAACAAAGCTAGCCTAATTTATTACTATGGAGGGCTTTATGTATTATGTGGTTCACAAATGCCATTCAATTGATTTTATTTTTAAAAAATCCAGCCCTGGCCAGTGTTTCTCAGTAGTTAGAGCATCCCTCCTTGCACCAAAGAGTCTCTGGTTCGATTCTCTGTCAAGGGCATGTACCTGGGTTTCAGGGTTGCTCCCCACCCCCGATTGGGGCGCATATGAGAGGCAACCAGTTGATGCATCGCTTTCACATAGATGTTTTTCTCTCTTTCTTCCCCCCTCCTTCCTTTCCTCCCTTCCACTTTCTCTGAAAAGCAATGGAAAAAATATCCTCGAGTGAGGGTTAACCAAAAAAAAAAAAAAAAAAAATTCCATAAAACAGAGGGGAAGTGTAATTTACATCATACTCATCTGTTAAACTACCTAGTGAAAAATGGCACTCAAATACTTACTTTTTCAACTATTTAACCTGTAAACTTATTCTACATGTTACACACTATTCATTTTATTTCTATGGTATTTATTTCCTCTAAAGAATAAAGCATTAGAGAGTGCTCCTAACTACTCCTGAGCCTAGCACCTGGTGCTGTTTTTCCACCGCTAACAGTGCTAAAACAACATATTGCACAATGTGCAATAGCTCACTAATCGTTTTTGTACCCTCTTCAGGGTTAAGCTGTTGATGAATTTTTAGACTATCAATAATATAAGCAGCTAATTAAAGAATTCTCTATCTTGATTTCTCAATTTCTGGTTTAGGTATGAATTAAAATATAAATTCTACTCCTAGCAAGGTAAAGTCTGAGTGATGGCCGGAGCCGGTTTGGCTCAGTGGATAACATAAGGACGCTGTTAGGATTCGAAGGACATTCCTTCAAATTTGTTTTTGAAATAAAAATCTAAAACATGTTCAGCTCTTATTTATTCTTCTGTTAAGGGTTATCTCAGAGGGCTGTACTCCAACTTTACAGATCATACCTATATGTCTTCAGAATACCTTAATTTGATATATTTGGCAAAGTTTAAATCCAGAATTATAGAAATGTAAGGTAGGATGAATTTCTGTTCTTAGAAATTCTATTCCTTCTGTATAAATGAATCTAAACTAATCAATCCCCAGGAAAAATTTGTCTCTTGTCCAAAACCTGCCTCTTGAGAGCTTGGTAGCCCCAGGCAAAGACAGATTATCTACCACTCAACTTTATGTGACTTAGTTTAGAAAATTTTAACGAATATTTTAAAAATTGCCACTAAAAACAAAATAATAAAAGTAGACAAAGGAAAAACATGTGATCCTCACATTTCTTATCAAGTACATTCTCAAAAAGTATAAAGGAAGCTGGCTCAAGGATCTAGATAAGAGAACTAGATCCTAAAACAGGGGATTGTACTGTGAAAGAAAAGCTTTCAAACCCTAAACTGCAGAACACAAAAAACAAAATGGAAACTAAGAAGTAGCAGTGTAATCAGGCATTTAACCAAGACAATTCAGGCAGAATATAGGTTAGGCTAGGAAAAATAGAAGAGCCAAGGACTTATAACATGGAATTAAAGCAAAACAAAATTGGGCCAATATTCTTGAACTTAGAATTACATTCCACCCAAACTAGTAACACAATTCCCTAGTGAACCAAGCCTATGGTGCAGGCAATCCACATGTGACATACCACCTGCACATATGAACAGGTAAAATGGTAAAAAACAAAACAAAACAGGAAATTCATGAAAACTACAATAATCTAGGTATATATGGATTGATGTATTATCTATCCTGAAAAAGTATGAATTACAAGTTTTTCAACAAATAATCTTTAAGATGCTAGCCAACTGAAATAGAAGTGAAGAAAATCAGATCCTAGATAGCCCCTGTGTTTCTTCAATTAAAATGGATTCTGTCCTTAGAATACAATTGGGTTTAGGATACGGGAGGGGAAAAGAAAATCAAAGAGAAAAAAGTAAGCAAGAATTGGTTCTTAGGTTTATGTACATATGTATGTATGTATGCTTGTTTAAAGTGGTTATCCTGCCTAGCCAATTTGGCTCAGTGGATAGAACATTGGTCTGCGGACTGAAAGGTCCTTGGTTCGATTGTAGTCCAGGGCACATGTGGCCCAGGTGGCGGGCATGCAGGAGGCAGCCAAACAATGATTCTCTCTCATCATTGATGTTTCTATCTCTCTCTCTGCCTCTCCCTTCCTCTCTGAAATCAATTTAAAAAAACATTAAAAAAATAAAGTGGTTATCCTATTGCTCTCAGGAACATATTTTTTTTCCTCTCTCTCAGATACACAACCTGAAAAACAAGTATAGATGGCAGAGATTCTGCCAAATGTCTGCCATGGTACTGTCTCCACTGCCTTTCCCCATTGGATTCCCCATCAAAATCAATGGCCATCATATGGAAGTAGCTTAATATTCCTTCAGAATTCCTTTGGAACATTCCTATTCCACTGCTATTTCTCCAACTTGTTGCTAGAACTCTAACCTAATTCCTTATCTTCTAAACTCCACAGACACAACCTAATCCCTTATCTTCTAAATTCCAAACGAACAAAGTGCCGCCTCATTCATAACTCTTGGCTTGCATTAAGTTGAACACAGTGTTCTTTTATTTGTATATTTTTTAAGTTTTCCAAAACTGAAAAGTAACCCAGAAAAATTTTTATGTTAACATGCTGAAAATGTTTCTATTACTCTCTAATATTGCCGCTCTTCCTGGAACAAGAGGAAGAGCATCAGAAATCAAGTTTATAAAATAATTTTTTATCAGAGAGGATTTCTGAACTTTTAGTAAATACAGATCTATAAACACAATTTTTTTTTCGAATAATGAAAGATTATATCCAATAGTGAACAACTTAAAGGTCATAATGTGAGCTTTCTAACATTCTTTGTAATTAAAACTTGACAACTGTACAGAAAATCACTTTTGCCTTATATGTGTCCTACCATAGCCTCTTTTTTTTTTATATATATACAGAGATGGATGCGAGATTTATTGGCAAGTTCAGCAATCAGCATAGCTCACAGTTTGTTTAGATGTTTATAAAAGAAATCATGATAGAAGCTGAGACTTGGACAGCTTCCTAGGAGAATGTAATCATCCTACCATAGCCTCTTAAAATAAGCATCCGCTCTAGGTAGCTACAACCAAAGACTGTTCAGCCAACTCCTCCTACATGGGAATAATACCAGGTTGAATAATGAAATATATTTTTGCTCTTAAGATATATAAACAATGCCTTGTCGTTCTACACACTAGTTGGGGCCTAACATATGCTTATTGTCAGAACATGTCTCCCAACATCTCTTAGCTGTGTCAGTGGGTGGAAGATGGCGTTGTCTCTTCAACGACAAACTTCCACTCTAGGGACCCTGTTCCCTTCCCCTTGGCTGGGACAAGTGGTCTAATCGGCTGTGACCCTGTTCCTTCCTACCTTCATCTTCATCACACACGCTCACCCCGTCCAGTATCCCCCTTCTGCTTCCCACTGGAGCCAAGGCGGCCCTGCGTTTCCTCCAGGCCCGGCGCTACCCATTCCCGCTGCTCACAGGCCGCACGGAGGTCAATGGCTCCGGAAGGTCGGGGCTCAGGGGCAGCAGGGAGAGGAGAGCCTGCAGCAGGGGTTCCTGTGGCGGCCGGTGGACCCGGACGGGGCTAAATGCCCGTGGACTCTTCCCAGAGGAGGTGCTGGTAGACAGAGGGTGCTGCTGGGAGTGAGAACCATGGCGATGGGGCCTATTTCTGGGGAAGCCCGCGGGATCCCTCAAAGATGAGGACGTGCCGCCAGGTCTCGGAGGGGCGGCTGCTCCCTGAGCCCATGTGCCCTGCGGTGGGCGAGGGCACCAGAGGCCGGACGGCGGCGGGCGGGACTCACCGTGCGGATCCGGCCGGGGCCCCGCGGGCGGCGGCGGCTCCTGGTGCTGCAGCGGGGAGGTGGAGGTGGAGGCCGAGGCGGAGGCCGAGACGGAGGAGGAGGCGGAGGCCGAGGCCGAGGCGGAGGCCGACGTGATGAGGAGTCTCTGGAAGCGGTTGGGCGGGCGGCAGGGCACCTTCAGGCCGGCCGCCAGCTTGGCCTTGTTGGCGCTGGTGAGCCGCTTGAGGTGCACGAGCAGCTGGGGCTAGTCTCGGCGGAAATGCGGGGCTGTGGAAGTGATGGACCGGGCCGTCAACCACAGGCCCGCCGCCCACCTGCTCCGGCGCGTGTCTCGTCGCGCCCGGCCCGTCCAGCACCACCTTGCGGAAGCCGTAGAGGTTGAGCTGGCGGATGAAGCTGGTGAAGTTGGTGGTTTTGAAGAGCTCGGGCTCGGCCGCCGCGCCCCCGACGCCGCCGACGCCGCCGCCCCCGGAGCTCCCGCCGCCTCCGGCTCCCGCCCCGGGCGGGCTGAGCAGTTCGGCCTCGAAGAGCGGCTGGTCGATGAGCAGCCCCTCGCCGCGGCCGTCCCAGCGAATCGAGCGGTAGCGAGGGCTGTTCACCAACCGCCACAGTTTGGCGGGGAAGTTGTTGGGGTTGATGGGGGTGGAGAGTAGCGCCTCCTCCATGGCCCCCGCCCGGGCCCTGGGCCTCGCCCCGCCGAGCCTGGCTCTGCTATCCCGTTCTCGATCCCCCCCGGCCTTCGCTTCGCCCTGCCCCCTCCTGCCGGCGCTCGGCCTTCGCGGACCCGGACCGTTGGCGTCCGAGCCCCGCGGCGCCGTCCAGCGCGGCCAATGGGGCCTCGAGTTCCCACCGCGCGCCCGGAAGAGGTGCCCCCTCGGCGGGCACCGCCGACCCGCGGGAAGCGCGTCGCCCAGGCCACGTGCCCACGCGTGGGACACGACGGGAGAAAGTCACATTCCCTCGAGCTGGGGTGGCTGCCCACCAGGTAGGGGTAAGCCCCGCGAGGAAACGAGCCCAGTGACCCGCGTGGAACACCGGGGTTCGCGTCCTCACCGCGGGGCCGGCGTGCCGGGCGGGGAGGTGGGATGCGGCAAGTGTGCGCTTGGCCACAGGAAGGCAACCATTCCCGAGAACAAAGGGCCTCGTTCTGTCATCTCAGGACTATGGCAATGGAATGGCTCAGCTCCCCACAACTAAAAAAGGCGACGGTGGGCTGGTATCCTGAGGAAACAAACTCGCCGTTTAGATAGCATTTTATGTGCTTTTCAATACACACTTGGAAGCCAAGATTGTGCTCAGGACAGTCTCCTCAAGGTGGGCGGGGAACTGAGGCGGCGGGGAATATCGGCACAATCCTGTGCGTCCGATCAACCAGCGGGTGAAATTCTAGACCTTAGAGAAGTGAACCTCATGAGATGGGATAGAATTCTACTGTGTCAATCAGGTAACTCCCTAGGTCGATAAGTAAGAATGTAACTGAAAAAAGAAAAGTCCATAAAAAAGTGGAAAATGTTGGACGGGGTGTAACGTTTCAGTCCTTTCTCATGATCAAAGAAAAAATGAGTGTGCGTTAGGTTTTCTTAGAAGTTAAAATGAATAAAAAGATCCAACAAAGCAGCACTAATATAGAGATTTTATTTAAATTGTATTGAGTTTTTACAGCACATTGCATGTTTGTCACAACGCAACTGCACAGTTTGGATTTTTGGCCACGTCATGTCACTTACACCCACAAGAGCTCTGAAAGGAGTATGTGATGAACACATCTGAGCTGAGAGCCCAGAGTCTCTCCCCAAGGCCATGCAGTATGTTCACTGATGGGATAGTCCCTCAAAATAGCCATACAAAAGAGACAGATACAGTCCCCGCAAAGGTTACTAATTTTACTCCCCATGTGCAATGAAAATCAAGTTAATTAAAAAGCCACTCACAACTGGCAGTTAAGTTGTAATGATTGCGAAAATGCTTAGAAGAATTTTATGTGTCAGAGACAAGGGATAGTTTGTTACTTTTTCAATGATCTCGGGAATTTCCCAGACACAAAATCTCCATTATTCAACTTCATTTAAACCAAAAAGAGTTCTGCTAGGTTGACCTAAATACGCCAAAACTTTTTAGGTTACACCCATGGCAAGTATAAAAGCACAGATGCTTCTCTGTAGGATTGAAGAAAAGGTCAGGACAAATATGATTCTTGTTCAATTTTTTTTCAAATAAAAAAATCTTTTTTCTAGGAAGCAACATGAAAGTAGCAGACAGCTACCATAGTAGTTTTAAAACAGGATAAGCCTAAGTGTAATTTACCTTTTATACACCAACAAATTAAGAAAAATGTATAAAGGAAATTCTAGTGATTTTGTTATAGGTTAAGAAAACTGTATCTGTCTCACCCACAGTACATGGCTATATCACTGTATCTTTTGGTTAAGTGCCACTGGTACATATTAATATGAAAAAAAAATGAAAAAAAAATAAAACAAGGTTTGGTCCAAATGGACACATTTTCTCTCCCAATTTTGGTATCAAGGCTTTATTCTCTTCTGTTTGGGTTCCATTGTTAAGTGCACAGAAATAAACAGCAGCATTTGTACTGAAACCCTCACATACCAAACAGCATATTCTAGGAGGTAAAAACCAAACACTAAATTCTACCCTCAAGGTGTCAAGTGTTCAGGATAAGAAGCAGTGTGATCCAGAGGAGGCAGCAGCCAAGGGAAAGACAACATGAGGAAAGTGGGCAATGGAACAACAACAACAAAAAAAAACACCATGGTTTTATTTTCATGCCAGGAGAGGATCAAGGTGTAGCTCCTGTGTTAGCACCAGGACAACTAGGAAAAGTCAGGCGCAAAGGGCAGGGCACAATCAGCAAATATTTCACAAGGATAATTTATGCGTTTCCCTTCTCATTCTTCACAGTGCATACCTCAAGAGCCATCACCGAATGACACAGATGACTGCCTTTATAGCTCAAAATAACTGACTTTTGCCAGGACTGAACATCAGCAGAGTTTTTTCTGCTCCCAAAAATGTCTCACTCCCTAGAACTGTCCCCCTAAACTGAATATTCACTGATGCTGGCCAATGAGCCAAGTGAAAAATACAGCAAAACCTCCACTTGCTGAACCAGTCTTAAAACCAAACTCCACAGAAAGACAGAACTAATGCAACTAGAGGAAGTGCCTCTAAAGACTGAGCCTTCATGCACAGACACAGAGCACAGAGGTACAGGATATAGTTCATTTCAAATAGGATAGGAATTCCTATTTTATATACTATAATCTGCTTTATTTCAAGGTGGAGGAGAGATGGATCTGGTTATCACTTGGAGTTTGGTTATACATATGCCTTTCTATTGCTGTTTGGGGCACACATTACCAGGCAGTATCAATGAAATCATTATCTTGTGACTCCCAGGAGAAAGAAGCTGGAGTCACCAACTCAACATTAAGATTCCAGACTCTGGGTCTGGGTCAGGACCATTACCCCACGGTGAGGGTCTCACCCGTAGTAGAGGACCTCCTGTCAAATTGGAATTCCTCTGCTCCAGTCTCATGATACCAAGGATTTCTCAAGATGGTATCTTTGAACTCTGTGATTTCATGAGCCACACCAAGGAACCTTCAAAACTATACCAGAAGCAGATTCTCCCTTCCAACCTGCTATAATTGGATAGGTCATCTCTGGCATTCAACTGGAAGCTGTAGCAATGGGTTTCTTCAGATGTTGGCTCATCAGTTCCCTGGCACGAGATACTTGGATATGTTCGTAACATGAGTTACAGACGAGAACTGGGTCATAGAGTTGCTGATCAGGAATGGGCAACTTCAGGTGGCAGCAACCGGCACAAAATACATTCCCACAATTTCTGCCAAAGCACAAGGAGGAAAGAGTTCATCAGAAATGCCACTATGCTGAACATCTGAACTAATACAAAATAATACTGAATGCAAACTGTAATTGAAACATTTTTTAAATAAAATAAATGCCAATACATTGAGAATGAATGATACTCTAAAAGGCATTACATGAGTAAATAAAAAGAAACGTTGGAAACAAGCAAAAATAGTTCCTATAAAGATGTCTCCATTTTCAGATTAATTCAATTTCATTCATATATGTGTACCTCACCTCTTCGAGCCATATCAAATCATATAAAACACCTTACCTGCAATGGTGTCTTCGTTTGGCCAACCAGAATTCACAGTCACAGTTATAGCAATGTGATGCCATATGGTCTGGAACCCAGCGAGTCACCTAACAGAAGGGACAAGAAAAAATTCCAGGTCCTTGTCAACAAAGCAGAACAACACACTGCAACAAGGAGAGTGTCCCAGGAGGAAAGGACAAGGCCTGTCTTTATAGTTGGCCACTATTCACCTAAAAAGAAGACCGTCTACAGCACATCACTCATCTCTGAGAAATGTGAAAACACATTGGCTTGCATAAGGACCCATATTTGCAAGGACATACCTCAGTCTCTTTCTTATCAACAGGTTCCCAGCTTGCTTCTGAAAGGCAGTCTTCACTGTGATCAGAGCCGAAATCTTCTGTATCACTTCCATCCGACTCCTTCAAACATGTCTGAAGAAAAGGCGAAGACATCAACATTATCTTCATCATCTCTAATATTATTATGCATCACATGCTGTTCTAAGTGCATTACATGTGTGTCTTCGGCTGCTTCTGCCAAGTAGCGGCAAAGGAGACTATGTGTCCCACAAAGCCTAAAGCATTTGCTATCTGGCCCGTGACCAAAAAAGTTTGCTGACTCCTGTTCTAAATCATCACCCTGAATGTTAAGAAGTTATTGGCCCTGCCCATCCCATCCCAACAAGTAGGTAGCAATGAAGACGGAATGTCTTAACAGGAGGAAGTAAAGTGCCTGTGTAGATGACAAGATATTATGGGCAAGAAGCTGACTCCTAGAAGCTCCCCAGGGACTGTTGTGCCAGAATCTGAGGCCTCCCCCAACACAGCAAAACCTAAATGGTCCTCATTTCTCACCTGGATTATTCTGAAACATCCTAACCAGCCTCCCAAACTGAGTTTCAATTGCCTCCTCCATTTAATACACTATTGCTAGAGTAGTATTCTTTTTTTTTTTTGTCTTTTACTGTAATAATTTTTTATTTCTTTCTTTATTGATTAAGCTATTACATATGTGTCCTTATCGCCCCATTGCCCCCCACAAACACCCCCACTCATGCCCTCACCCCTGTTGTCTGTGTCCATTGGTTAGGCTTATATGCATGCATACAAGTCCTTTGGTTGATCTCTCCCCCTTACCACCACCCTCTCCTAGAGTAGTATTCTTAAAATACAAATCTGATCACATTACTCACTGGTCAAAAATATTATTACCTTGAAGGTAAAATCCAAACAATAAGGGAACTCAAACTGACCTTTCCGATCCCTGTCTACTTCCCCAATATCACCTCCCACCGCACTACCCAACTGCCTCCCTTGCCATTCTAGCACAAGTATACATGTACACACACATACACACACACACAATCCATTTGTTCAAGCCATACTGTTGGAATACCTATTGCCTCCATGCTTCTACAAATGGTTATTTCCTTTTCACTGTCTACCAAGCTACATATGACACATTTTCCAGTACTCAGCTAAGCATTATCTTCTCAGGAATGCCTTCCCTGAC